TTTTCCACTATATGTTATTACAAAGATGTTGAATATAGTTTCTTGTGCTATATGGTAGGTCTTTGTTGTTTATCATTTATGTATAATAATATCTGTTAATCCCCAGTTCTTAATTTATCCCTTCCCCTCCCCCCTCCCCCTTTGGTAGCCGTTAAGTTTGTTTTCTATGTGACACTATTCCTAAAAAGAGCCCTTTGCCCAACCGTCAATCAGAAAAGTGGGTTAACAGAGTAAGGTAATGAAAGTAAGAGAATCAGATCACATTTGTCCTCTCTGTATAAAAATCTAGGGACTTCTCTGGTGGTCCAGTGGTTAAGAATTTGCCTTCTAATGTAGGGGACTCGGGTTGGATACTTGGTCAGGGAACTAGGAGCCCATGTGCCTCAGGGCAACTAAGCGTGCAAAACTGCTGAGTCCTCTCGCCACAACTAGAGAAGACTGTGCGCTGCATTTGAAGAGCCTGCGTAGCCAAAAAAAAATTTAAAAAATATGAATAACTAATTATATGAACTCAGAGAGGGCGGATGGCCTCCTCAATATTCCCGGGACTTGGTGAAAGGGAACTTAAGGCTGGCCTACGGTATATCCTGTCCACGGGAAAGGGGCCCGCTGGACAGGGACAGGAAGCAGCGTGTCTGCAGGGGTATGGACACCCCACCGGAGATGCCGGGGTATTCTCTGTGAGCATGACAGGCGAGGCGGGGTGAGAGGGCTGCCGAGCACATCACAGATGGACAGCAGGACAGCAGGACGTGGGATGTGATGGGTCTTCATTACATTGTGCTACAACGGCAAAGTATGGTAAAGACGGTAAAGTACCTGCCTACAATGCAGGAGACCCGGGTCCGACCCCTGGGTTGAGAAGATCCCCTGGAGGAGGGCATAGCAACCCACTCCTGTATTCTTGCCTGGAGAATCCCCGTGGACAAGCGGGCTACAGTCCATGGGGTTGCAAAGAGTCGGACCCAACTGAGCAACTAACACTTTCGCTTTCGCAAAACTGAACAGAGGTGAGAGAGAGCAGTGATGAGGGGCTTCAGCCATCCAGGCGCGGAGGATGCTCATGACTTAAAGCAAATGAACTGATAAAGAGAAGGGCTAGGTTTGAGGAAATTGCATTTTTTAAAATTTAATTTAATTTTTAATTGGAGGATAATTACTTTACAATGTTGTGATGTTTCTGCTATACATCAACACGAATCAGCCATAGGTATACATATGTCCTCTCCCTCGAATACTTTTAAACGTAGAGAAAAGGTAGGTAGATCATGAAATCACTTAGCTGTAAGGCAGAAATTAACACAACATTGTAAAATCAATTCTACTTTAATAAAATCAAGGAGAAAAAAGACAGGTAGGAGCCTATGGCCTGTGACTCTAGACAGGGAGGGACTTGGAGGGAAAGTGGGAGCTGCAAGAGGAACTGAATCGTGACTAATCCCAGAGAGATGGCAACAGGGACAGAGCTAAAGGAGCTATTGTGTTTCTCATGACATGTTTGGTTTAGAAAAGGACACAGACAAAGATAGAAGGAACGGCACAGTACCAAGGACGAATTGAGAAGAGTGACACATTTCTGTGAGAACAGTGCTGAGGCCTGAAATGAAGCTTGCAAAAAAAAAAAAAAAAAGCTAAAGTTGGCAAAAGAAATCTGAAAAGAAAAGAAAATTTTAAAAGGGACATTATTTTTAGCTATGATTAAAAAAGGGATGAGGTTCTTTGCTTGGATCACAACAGCATGTTAACAGAGAATGAAGTTGAGATGACCCAACTCCCTGTTCGCTGTCTAGCCTTTCCATAGAAGCCAGTGGTCTCAACTAGGAAGAGGTAAAGAAGCATCCTTATAGCACTTCCCTGGCAGTCCAGTGGTAAAGACTCTGTGCTTTCAATGTGTGGGGCACAGGTTCGATTCCTGGCCAGGGAACTAAGATCGTGCATACCATGTGGCATGGTGAAAGTATTTTAAAAAATAAAAATAAGAGGCATCCTTAGAAGAGCCTCAGGCATGTGGGAAGGGGATGTGGCATGTCCTCTGAATGGTATGTCCTCTGAATCATTTTAAGTCCAAATCTCCAGGCTCTACAGGCTCCCATTTCAGGCCCCTGGAAGAACCAACAGATAGGACAGCAGAGACAATGTACTTGATCCCTGAAAAAACCAATGGAGACTGGGAAGTTTCCAAAAGATTACTGCCAGCAAACATCCCAATGTTCTCATGCAGGAGGGGGAGATACAGTTCCTACTCTGTGAACCAATAAGCCTGGCAAAATTTTAACTAAGATGTAAAGAAGGTTTTAAATCCCTTTGAAAAGGATGGGTATTGAACACTATCATAGGTTGGAGAAAAATAAGCCAGACTATTGGGTTGCCCTCTCCCTTATATGGGCTTGCCTGATGCCTCATCGGGTAAAGAATCGGCCTGCAGTGCAGGAGACCCGGGTTCAATCCCTGCGTCGGGAAGATCCCCTGGAGGAGGGCATGGCAACCCACTCCAGTATTCTTGCCTGGAGAATTCCATGGACAGAGGAGGCTGGTGGGCTACAGTCCATGGAGTCGCAAGACTCAGGCATGACTGAGCGACTAAGCAGGAACACTTCCCTACATGCTACCTAAGGGCACAGCCCAGAAAGGGCTCAGTTACTGAGCATCTTGAAGCACAAAAAAGCAAAAACAAACAAACAAACAACAAAAAAACAGCTCTGTATCTATTTAGTTCCTAACAACACAGGCGGTATGATGACCGAGGCTCAGAGATCCCTCTGATTGGGCTTTGGCCATTCTTGAGCCTGGGGTATTATCTCAGGCCTCCAAGCCTTTGTCACACGGTGCTCCCTCATGCGGAATAACCTCCTCTTTGTTTGGCTGTTTGTCCTTCAAAACTCAGCTCAAATGGCAGCTCCTCGGGGAAAGTTTCTCTTCTGCTCAGTATGATTTAGAAGCCCTGATCCACAATCTGATGTCCACGTTGGAATCCTAGTACCCAATATGATGGTGGTAGAAGGTAGGGATTTGGGGAGGTGCCCAGGTCCTGAGGGTGGAGGTCTCATAAATGGGATCTGTTGTTTCATGTACTTGCTCAGCCATGTCTGACTCTTTGAGACCTCCATGAACTGCAGCCCTCCAGGCTCCTCTGTCCTTGGGATTTCCCAGGCAAGAACACTGGAGTGGGTTGCCATTTCCTCCTCCAGGGGATCTACCTGACCTAGAGATGGAACCCGGGTCTCCTGCTTTGGCAGGTGGGTTCTTATCACTGAGCTACCAGGGAAGCCCCATCAATGGGATCAGTGCTCTTATACAGGAGACGGCACTGAGCTCCCAAGCCCCATCTGCCACGTGAGGATGTCATGTGAGGATACAGGGAGAAGTCTGTGTTTGGGCACAGGGCCCTCACCTGACTATGTTGGTACCCTATTCTGACTTCCAGGCTCCTGAACCATGAGCAATAAACTTCTGTTCCTAAGCCACCCAGTCTATGGTGTTTTGCTAAAGCAGCCGGAACAGGCTCAGTCCCTTATCCGCGCTTGCCAAGCCTTCTGTGCACTCTGCTATCACAGTGCTCATCCCCTGGGTTACAACGGACAGCTTCCTTATCTGCCTCCCCACGGCCTGCTGCCTCCTGGAGGAGTTTCTATTTCCAAAGCCTGCCCAGTGCCAGGCACACTGGGGACCCTCACGTCACCGGGACTGCTTGCAGGAGTTTTGCTGAGAGGTTCAAAATCAGCCTGAGGGGATTTGTCTCTAATCATGTTCTGTGGGCTTCTCTAAGGCTAGACTTTTATCAGTGACTTGGAGGAATAATATTTTTTCAAGAACCCATAAAGCTGAGAGAGAAAGATAATTAGATAAAAGGCTCAAGGTTCAATCTATGGTTGACTATAAAACCTGAAAACATAGATAAGTTTTTATATAGATGGATTTTTCGTCTTGATTTTTCTGTGGCATGCTAACAGCATGTTGTTTTCTTTTTTTGGTTTGTTTTGCTTTGGAGAGAAAATCAGAGGCAGATCATGTGAGGTAACATGTCACAGAATACAGGCACTGAGGGAAATGCCACATTGGTGCACCATATTCATTGCAGTTTTCACCAGTGCTCTGAACTATGCATTGCTAATGCAGGGCAACACAGTGAATATATCATGTAATGTCACTAACCGTATGACACATTATCACTTAATATCAGTAAGCCATTTATTATAGATGTTCTTCTATGCTTCCAGACTTTCTGGCTACTCTGTAGAAAACCGGCTTATAACAATGAAATTATAATAGAAATGCTCACGAAGTTTTATGCGTGCATGCTTGCATAGTTGTGTCTAATTCTTTGCGATCCCATAGACTAGCCCACCAGGTTCCTCTGTCCATGGGATTTCCCAGGCAAGAATACTGGCGTGAGTTGTCGTTTTCTCCTCCAGAGGATCTTCCCCACCCAGCGACTGAACCTGGGTCTCCTGCATTGCAGGCAGATTCTTTCCTGCTGAGCTACCAGGGAAGGCATGTGTTCGAATGTGAGTATAAATACCATTCTCTGAACTTGCCACCTTCTGGCATCAGGTGATTATATTGTGAGGCTCAGGTCCAAGGTTCCGTTCTCCCTAGCATCTCTGCAGAGCTTCTCTTAAGGCATAAGGCCCCTCCCTCTTTCTGGAACATGAACTTATCTCAGGCAGATAGGTGCTCCACTTTCTGTTCCAAATGCCCTTTTTTAGGTCAGGTCTTCAGAGAAAGCTTTAACTGAACTCTGAAGTGTAGCCAGCCAATTTAATTGCTCAGTGTAATCACTTTATGATTATGATTTGATAACATATCAGTTCTGTCTCTATTCCTATTTGGTTTGCTGGAACGAAAATGAAATCAAAACCCATTAAGAGGAAGGCTTCAGGCAGCGATTAACTTGAATCCCAGACTAATATATTTTTGGCATATTTACCTTGTGGATAAAACATGTGTTTTTATGGGACAGAGGAGACCATGGGATAGTAAGGACAGTGAGAAGCCCATACCTGAGCCGCAGACAACAAAAACGAACAGTGCCAACAGCCATGGTCCCACAGGATATTTCTCTTCTTGTGGCCTCTGAAAGTGAGTGGGAGAAAGTAAGATGAGGTTCATTCATTCAAGAAACATTTATTGAGTACAGCTAGACACTGTCCTAGAGGCTGGGGACCCGTCTGTGAACAAGACAGATCCAGTCTTAACGCCAGTGGGCAGATCTAGATGAAAGTGAAAGTGTGAGTCACTCTGTAATGTCCGACTCTTCTGCGACCCCGTGGACTGTAGCCCACCAGGCACCTCTGTCCATGGGATTCTCGAGGCAAGAATACTGGGGTGGGTAGCCACTGCCTTCTCCAGGGGATCTCCCAGACCCAGGGACTGAACCTGCGTTGCCCACATTGTAGGAAGATTCTTTACTGTCTGAGCCACCAGAGATTTAGATGAATAAAGTCAATTTAAAGAATCAAGACTGGTTTGGAAAAACTCATCAACAACCTTATTTACATCCCTGTAACTCAATGAACTTGGTGGTTCTTAAATAATCTGAGACAGATGAGGTATAATACGTAAATCAGTACAGTGATTTGGGAGCCAAAAAATGCCATTACTAATAATTGTTTCTGTTGGCTGAAAGCACACTTCATACCAGTCACTCTAGGAAGCAGCTGATATTCCACCATTTCCAACTCCACATGAGGTCAGTCTTTTCATCCCCCTTCTGTAGCTGAGAAACTGAGGCTCATGCTTTGTTAACTGCAGCAAGAGCTGGGATTCAAGTTTAGATTTGCCTCATTATAGAGCCAGGGGTTTTGCCTCCAACAGACTCCCCTCAAATTCCCGCATCTGTGGCTTCCAAGCTGGGTCACAAAGCACAGCCATTTTCTCAAAACTTTCCAAGTGCCAGGACTTCCCCTGAGATCAAGTGGTAAGACTCTACCTTTCAAGGCATGGGTGCTTATAAGCTCAGTTGTGTCTGACTCTTTGCGACCCTATGGACTGTAACCACCANGGCTCTCCAGGACTCTGCAGGCAGCCGCTCCCTCCAGCTCCCCTTATCAACTCCGCTGGGAGGTCTTTCCTGAAGTCTCACCTCCTTCCATCTTGCTTCAGTTGGGGCACGTTTAATCCCTTCTGGCCTGGCTCGAGCGGGAGGGGTAATCTGAGCCTTGTTCACTCCTTCTCCCTGGCTCACCCCTGGACCTCTCTTCTCTCCCCCTCCTCTGTTTTGGAATTCAAAACCTGCTTGTCACAGACAGTTTATTTTTTATTAAAAAGACAAAGCTTGTGACTGGTGCTGTTTTTTGTCAGAGCAGAGCACTCCAGCCCGGGACCGTGGGAGGTAAGGGGAGCAGGAAGTCTGAGGACATTAGTAGGTTTGTGGGGTGATGGTTCTCTCCAGCTCCAGACCACTTCTTTCTCCCTGCCAGCTCCTTCCCGGCCCCCAAGCAGCCCCACAGCCCTTCCTTCTGCTCCAGACACTGCTGGAGAGCACCTCCAACTCTGGCTCTGGGGCCAACTCACGTCTGTGTCTGCTGGCCAGGCAACACCTCATCCACCACGGCTTCTGTGCCGCAGCCCCACAGCTGCTGTCCGCGGCTGTCCCACACTGCTCGAGACTCCTACTCAGGCCCCCTTCCCCACGGCAGCAGTTGGTTTCAACCCTTGGAGGACTGAATTTATAGAAAGACTGTGCAGCCACCCCCACCCTGGCCACATCCTTCCTAATATCTGACAAATGCTCTGTGCACACCCCCGTATCACCCTCCCACTCTCCATCCTGTCACTACGTTTGTCCCTTTTCCATCCAAGGCTAACGGGTGCATTGCCCCTTCCCCTGGCCAGGCCAAGACGCCCTCCACTGCCTTCCCCACTTTACTGCTCCCTCAGTGTTAATCTCCCTTCCTCCACCCCACAAGTGTGCTAGGTGTTCTCTGTACCAAAGAAAAAAAAGCAATGATCCTTCCCACAACGCCACACTTTCAGTCTACCCCCTCCACCCTCGCTAACTCTGTCCTGCTAACTACTGAACACGAGGTAGGCTTCATTCTGGCTGTCCCCCAGCACCCCCAGCATCACCCTCACCCTCTTTAATCCTCTGCAGTCTGGCTCGCCCCCCCACCCCCCACTCTCTGCTTACATGACTCTTCACGATTTTTCTTTTTTTTTAATTTTTTTTTCTTTCTTCACAATTTTTCATAAGCCTCTCACTGGCCTTGGTCTCTATGTAGTCTTCACACCTTGGCCATGATACTGTCCTCACAGCTCACTTACTCTTTTAAAATGTGTATTGGTGTATAGTTGATTTACAATGCTGTGTTAGTTTATGCTGTAAGCAAAGTGAGTCAGTTATACATAAATATACATCCACGCTTTCTTAGATTCCTCATAACTCTCTTCCACAACGGCTTTTTCTTTTTCTTTTTTTAACGTCAGACAGGTAATGTGCCGATGTCGTAACAAGGCTTGGAGGGAGGCGCATGTCACGCAGTAGCGTGAACACCCAGCCATCATGCTCATGAACGACAAAAGGATCTGCAATGCCTTTTTCTTTAGAAGATGTTTTAAAAATTTTCAGTTGTGGTAAAAAGAACATGGTAATATAAAATTTACCCTCTTAACCGTTCAGTTTTCGCTTCCCTGGTGGCTCCGTGGTAAAGAATTTGCTTACAGTGCAGGGATGCGGGTTCCATCCCCCGGAGAAGGAAATGGCAGCCCACTCCAGTATTCTCGCCTGGAGAATCCCATGGACAGAGGAGCCTGGCGGGCTACAGTCCATGGGGTCACAAGAGTTGGACACCACTGAGAGACTAACACTTTCATTTTGTTGCAGAATGTATTTCCCTGTGATAAGATACCAGCAGGAGAAATGAAATGTAAATTGCCCCTTTATTCTGAAGAAGTTACTACTGTATAATTATGAAACGATCATCCCATTACTCTGTTATCTGGGAGAACAATATTGATCTCCATAGCTGTACACCAATAATGAAATACCTGTATACAATTAAAGGAGTTTATTTCTAAATGACTAGTCTGGATTTTCCTTTAGAATCTGTTTGTGTGTCTGCATTTCATTCTGAACAAGTTACCCCTTGCAAGTTACTTCTTTCTAAGTATAATCATGTTTGATCTGTAATTAGGAAAATGAGATTTAGGATTTAAAGTGTTTCATTTTGTTTTTTTGAAAGAGAATTTCAGTTTTCTTTTTGGATGCTGATCCATGTACAATAAAGTTAACCAAAAAAGCCTTTCTAACTAAGGGAAAATAAACATACCTTGTGGCTTGGTTTAGAAATCTTTCATTACAAAGTTAGTAGGACCATTTAAATACCCTCATAGGCGCCAGGCACTTTTGAAGGGCCTGCTCCATGGTATATCAGAACCTATTAAAAATCTACTCACAACACACATTAAACTTTATTTGAAAATATTTCTGAAAGTTGAATTGAGTTGAACTGCAGTAAAGTTGACTACATTTCTTAGATATTTAAACAGTTTTTTCTCTAACTGTTCCATTGTCTTTTCTTACTTTGGAGACAATCATTGTTTTTTTCAGGTCCCAAATGTTCTCGAGTGGTCTTGAAAAGCTCAAGGTGGCAGGTGCTGACTTTACCAAGCCTAACAGATAACACAGACTTCCCTGGTGGCTCAGTGGTAAAGAATCTGCCTGTCAGTGAAGGAGACATGGGTTCGATCCCTGGGTCAGGAAGATCCCCTGGAGAAAGGAACAACTACCCACTCTGGTATTCTTGCCTGGGAAGTTCCATGGACAGAGGAGCCTGGGGGGATAAGTCCACTGGGTTGTGAAAGAGTGGACCTGACTGAGCGACCTAACAACAACAAATGGATAACACAGCTCTGCAAAAAAGTTTCTGTTTTGTTATTACTTTTGCAGTCAGATAAGCTGTCAACTGGAGAGAATTAACAAGTGAAGTCTGCTTTTTTTTTTTTAGTTCATTAAAAAGAACCACACAGCTAGAAATTTTCAGTAAATCAGCTAGCTTGTATATCATCCTTGGAAGGCTTTATCTTCTAGGGATATAAACACTGAATGCTTTAATATCCTTAAAAATTGTTTTTCAGCATCAATTTGGACAGTAAGATTTCTTTTTTCCTGAGTAAAAATACGAAAAACACAGATCTATGTGAAAAATAGTTTCAATTCAATGGCATGTTGCCATTTTGCTGCCCAACAACAACTAAATGATCTAGCTCCCAAATGAGAGCATTTCCAGCACAACTTAAGCCTGTAACTGTGCTGCGCTTAGTCGCTTCAGTCGTGTCTGACTCTTTTCGACCCCATGATGTGTAGCTTGCCAGGCTCCTCTATCCATGGGGATTCTCCAGGCAAGAATATTGGAGTGGGTTGCCATGCCCTTCTCCAGGGGATCTTCCCAACCCAGGGACCAAACCTGGATCTCCCGCATTGCGGGCGGATTCTTGACTATCTGAGCCGCCAGGGAAGCCTACTTAAGCCTGTAGCTGTGTAAAAAGATCCAGCGTTGATCCTAAGGCTTCTCTGACATAGTACTGCTTGGTTCTGCAAGAATTCTGGTCTAGTGATGGCAAATCTAGCTTTTTGCTCAGTGAATCAAACCAGCATTGTCTCTTTGGCTAAAAGCAATTGCCTCAAGTCAGCAGACTCTTCCAGCCAAACTCCAAGCTTCAGCTAAACTTCCACTGAAGTGTCTGAGATAATATTGATAGATTCCAAGTGTCTTTGCTCATGCACTTGGAGACAAACACTACCCAACAACTCATCTGAGGCCTGCCACCGAATGTCCAGAAATACAGGCCTGGCAATTTCTGCTGAAGATCATTTGTTTTACTGAAAACAAAGGAACACCACACACACAAACACACACACCCCACTGTGCATAAGGCACAGATTTTACTTAAACATTGTTATAAAGCTTTAATCTACAGTTTTGGAGGCGGTAGAATGCCTAGCAATAAACTAGTCTCTAAAATTCTGGAACATATTATTAAGATGAACCTGAATTCACAGAATGAATAAGAGGGATGCTGCTTTTAGAATTTGTCCTCCAAGCCCCTGGAGAAAAGGCAAAGAGGGAAGATGGAAGGAAACACAGGTTGAATCGCACTTTGAATTCCCAATGTACACAAGGAGAGCATTACAAAAGGCAGGAAGAAAAACCTTATCAGGGTGTGTTTGTTGGGGAGGGCAGCAGGGGTGAAGCCTAGGAGGGAGAGATGGCAAGCGGCCTCATTTTACCCATTCATTCATTCATTCAACAAATGATCTCGCACCTACTAGGTTCCTGTCCCTCGTGTCAAGCAGTGGGTTTAACTTCCCTTAAGGATGTGACTTTGATCTTTCCCAGAGACAAAGACTCAGTTCTCTCCTGGGGAGGCCCTTCTGCGCCTCCGTGGCAGCCACTCCCAGAGGGGCCACGGCCAACCAGGGCCCTCTCCGCCCACGCGAGCCCAAGTCCGCGCCCCGGCGTGGGGGAGCGCATGCCTCAGCGCCCCCCGGGGTGCCAGACCCCACGGGAGGGGCGGCCCGGGGCGCGGAGGAGGCGGGGGTCAGCCCCGCGCCCGCAGTCCTACGCCCGCCCCGCCCCGGCCCGGCCACTCGCCGCCCGGTCCACGCCGCCCCCGCCTTACCAGGGTTTTGGCTACGTTCCCCCTCTGGGTGATGTTTTTGCTGTGCTTCTCGTTGGCCATCCGGATCCGCTGTTTGGCCACCATGGCTCAGGCGCCAGGAAACGCTCTCGACTCCCACCTGCAAGGATGCCCCCCGCGTGAGCCCCCCGACCGGGCCGAGCTCGTCCCGCCCGCCCCGGGCGCTGCAGGTGGCAAGGCGCGGCCCCCGAGCCCCGGGCACCCCACTCCCCAACCCCCAACGAGCTGGCTCCAGAGAGAGGCCAGAGCCCGGACGGAAGTAATCTTTCATCTCAGGAAACCCTCTCCTACTTCCTCGCCATCCTTCCGGTCCCCCCAGCTACCTAACCAGCGCAGCCCCGAGGCGGGCGCTGCGGCGCGTCCTCTGCGCACCCGGCGGCCGGAGCGCAGCGCGCGGAGCGGCTCCGGTCGGGGGACCCCGGGGGAATCGGATCCAGCGGCCGAACGCGGCGAGGCCCAGGGTTCCGGCGGCCGCGGGCTTTGTGCGCTCACAGCGGGCGGGGGCTCCCCGGCCCGGGACCCACCGAGGCCCTGGGGAAAGGGTTGGGACGGCTGCGCTTCGAGGTGGGGTCGCGCAGTCTCCCCGGCACTGCTGCCCGCTGGCCAACGGCAGGGCTGGAGGCAGCGGCCCGTGGTCCTCAAAACACTAGTTCAGCGAGGGAAGACGGGGCTGGGCCCGCTCTTTTGGGGGACCGTGGGAAGGAGCCTCCCCTTCGAGGGTCTGGGGACGGGCTTGCGCACGGAAGGGCGCCGCAGGAGCTTTCTGTAGTGCTGCTGAAAGGACCGGATCTTCCCCGGGGATGGGGAGAAGGGGGTGTGAGGATGGAGCAGGGAGAGGCCTTCCTGCCTGGGCGGTTACCGGGTTACTCGGAAGACAGACAGCGCCGCATCTGAGTGAAACGTGGAGGAAAGACTTAGGCTTGCTGCCCAGGTGGAGTTTGGTGGTCACCGCCCGGACGTGGGTAACTTGGGCCACCCGGGACAACTTGCATCTCCTCTAGAGAATTCCATTCCCCGCCCCCCCCTCAGCCCCCCACCCCAACCCTCCAGGAGCATCTGGGCTGGGGGCTTCCCTGCGGTTCAAGGGTACAGATGGAACGTTCCTGACTCACAACCGTTGGTACCAGGCCCTACAGATTGTCTACTGTGGGGACAGGGCGGGGAGAGGGGTCCAGCCCTTCACTTTCCCACGTGCTGGATGGATTGGAGGTAGCCCCTAGAAGACCAGAAGAGGGGGAACCTCAGCCCGGAAGTTCTGGGGCTGGGGGGAGTGGTGGGAAGAGTTAGACCAGCTTTGGCTCGTGCACCCCAGTCCTTCCCTTTGGGGCATCTGTGACTGGGCTTCCACCGGGTTCTATGGAGTGAGGTTCCCCTGTGTCCAGGGGAGGTGAGGGAGGGCTCCTTCTCTCTTTGGGGGGCCCTTTGTGCCCTCATAACTGGCAGGGGCTGCTGGGCTGAGCTCAGCCTCATGTCCTTCCCCATTTCTTGTCAATCAAACGGTAATATGGACTGTTTAGGGGCAGCTTTGGGTAACCTAGAAGAAGCAAGAAGTTATCTATCACCATTAGTAAAGTCTGGTCATTCTTTTTCTACTCTGAAGAAGAGTTGAGTTTCCACACTAGTTTCCATTGGCTTAACCATTACCCACCACCACCATTATTACAGGACCACAAACCAAGTAGGCCCAACCCTAATGCTGCGCTTTTAATAACAATTGAGTTCTTTCTTTTTAAAAGAATTAATTTTTTTTTAGTATAGTTGCCAGGTGATGCAAAGAGCTGACTTCTTGGAAAAGACCCTGATGCTGGGAAAGATTGAAGGCAGGAGGAGAAGGGGGCGGCAGAGAATGAGATGGTTGGATGGCACCACTGAATGAGTGGACATGAGTCTAAAACTCCAGGAGATAGTGAAGGACAGGGAAGCCTGGCGTGCTGCAGTCCGTGGGGTCGTAGAGTTGGACATGACCTAACCACTGAACAACAATAGCTGCTTTGCAATATCGTGTTCATTTCTACTATACAGCAAAATGAATCAACTGCGCGGATACATACATACCCTCCCTTTTGGATTTCCTTCCCACTTAAGACACCACAGAGCTCGGAGTAGAGTTCCCTGAGCGCTGAGTAGGCCCTCATTAGTTCCCTATTTTATTCATAGCATCAGTAGTGCACATGTGTCAATTCCAAGCTCACAGTTCCTCCCACCCCCTTGCAGTTCCCCTTTGGTGTCCACACGTTTCTTCTCTACGTGTGTGTCTCTGTTTCTGCTTTGCAAATAAGACTCTTGGCAGGGAAGGGTGAGAGGCCTTCTCCTGCTCAGTCACACTTGCTGGATCTGGCTGTGTGAGGTCCAGGGCCGGCATCTCCGTGACTCGCCTTCCTCCGATCTCGTCCACATACCTGGAGAGGAGATAAGGTGTTACCCCGTCTGAGCTGGGCACAGACCTGGCTCCGAGAAACATGAAGGGAAAGATGCAGACAGAGATGGTTTTCCATTTGGGCCTGTGAGCAGAAAAGGGTTCCTCGGGATCAGAGGTCTGCCTTCCGTCGGGCTCAGGTGTGCTGCCTTGCTTAGGAAAGAAATTGGTTTTTGACCCATGACTCCTGCTTGATATGGGGCTTCCCAGGTGGTGCTAGTGGTAAAGAACCCACCTGCCAACGCAAGAGATATGGATTGAATCCCATGGTCGGGAAGATCCCCTGGAGGAGGGCATGGCAACCCACTCCAGTGTTCTTGCCTGGAGAATCCTATGGACAGAGGAACCTGGTGGGCTACAGTCCATAGGGTCACAAAGAGTGGGACATTACGGGAGCGACTAAGCACACACGTGTGCCTGCTTGACACTGACCAGTTTTACTCTTTTGTTTTTGCTACGCTTCATTTCACAATATTTTAAGTTAGTTTGTTTTAATTATAGACGGTATACTCACAGCAAACATTGAAACAGAAATAGGATATAAAGTGATAAAGCAAAGGTCTCATTCCCTGCCCTCCCCACTAATTCCCATTGTTTCTAGGTTACCCTCCTAGTAGTTTTTACTCCTATAGAAGGCTTCTTATATATTCCCTTTTAAAAAACAAGCCAACATATGCCAACTGTTCTGTCACTTGCTTTTCTCAGTTTATTGCAATATGATCACATCTACTTTTATATCCCTTCTTTTTCTAATAGGTACACAGTCTTCCATATTTATGGTTATATAGTAATATATTGAACTATAGCTGGGCATTACTTTGCCAACAAAGGTCCGTCTAGTCAAGGCTATGGTTTTTCCAGTAGTCATGTATGGATGTGAGAGTTGGACTGTGAAGAAAGCTGAGCACCGAAGAATTGATGTCTTTGAACTGTGGTGTTGGAGAAGACTCTTGAGAGTCCCTTGGACTGCAAGGAGATCCAACC